TCAGAAAGCCTGGGACTTGTGCTGGCTTCCCCAAACTCTCTGCTGGCAAAAGAGGTGAGGTAGGCACAGAGTATGAAAGAATAGGGAGCCGAAGGTGGCAAAGGGTAAACGGGGAAGTATGAAGCTCCCATGGGCATCCCCATGGAAATGCTTTTAGCACGCACGTGTCTCTGGACATTCTCCAGAATTGCAAAGGTTAGCATTAGGGCCCAGAGGGGCCCTATGTTGCAGGACCTGCAGCGAGTGGTGGTTTGTTAGAGGTAGTCCCCAAAACGTGTCTGGGAACCACAAGATTTTGGGTATCACAATTCAGGGACCATCTGGGTAAGTCTAGAATCTGAACCACGATCTCGTGGTCATCTAGGATCAAGCTCGATGTATATGGATGCTTTTGAGTCCTCACTTAGACCCAATTGACTTCACTGCCTTTAGAAACTAAGGAAGTAGCACCACTTGTAATAGACCAGGGGCCTATCCCAACCTTCTCTGTGGGGCCCTTGTCAGTGCAGGGCTGGGAAGTCATTAGCTATGTCTCCCAAAGAGAGGCATTTCCCTGACTAATGTCAGAAATGAAAAATCTCGTTCATAAAAATCAGAGGTTCCATGTGCAAATGCTAATTGCAAAGTTATTTCCTATCGTTAATAGTAGCTTTACTGAGGTACAATCAACATTCAACTACACATATTTAAAGTATACAACTCACCCTGACAACTGTTGCTCAGTGGGTTGGGGGTTAGTCCATGGGTCTAAAGGTTTCTGGTTCAATTCCCTGTCCCTTCCCCTTTCCCAAATAAATAAATAAATAAGTCTTTAAGAAAAGTAAGGTATAAAATTGGATAAGTTTGTACAGGGAGATACCCATGAAACCATCACCTTAGTCTGGACAGTGAGTTTTCCCACCATTCTCTGTAGTTTCCTCTGTGCCTTTGTGATCTCTGCCTTCTCCCCATTGTGCCACCCAAAGCTGCAGGCAACCACCAATCCACTTTCTGTGCCTAGAGATTGCATTTTCCGCACATTATAGAAATGCAGTAATCAGCATGTACTTCCTTGTTGGTCTGGCTATTTGCACTCAGCATAATTATTCTGAGATGCTTTCATGTTGTGTTTATCAATAGCCTGTTCCTTTCTTCTTGTTGGATCCTGTTCCTGTGGATGGGCATACCACCAATTATTTACCCATTTCTGTTGATGCACATTTTCTTGGCCCTGGTTTTCAGCTATTGCAAATCAAGTGCCTTTGTATACTCACATACAATTCTCTGCATGGGTATACATTTACATTTCTCTTGGGTTATACTCAGGAGTAGAATGATTGGGTCACATAGTAGGTCTACGTTTAACTCTTGTAAGGAGGTGAGCAACTTTTCTGGAGTGACGGTGCCATTTTACATTTCAATCAGCAGTGAGGGAGACTTCCAGAGCCTCCATTTCCTCCCCAACGCTTCGTAGTTTAAGTACGAACAATTACAGTGTGTTATAGAAATCCCAAACTTCCCGCCAGTTTCCTAGAAACCAAAGAGAACACGTTAAGTGCCTTCATGAACACAGTACACTGTCATGATTTCCACAGAAAGCTTCACGCGTTGCTTCTTCATCACCCATCACCAGCCTGGTTGCTTTGTGTTCCACAAGCCTGTCATGGTTTTCTTAGAATCTCAGGGATGAATCTGAAGTCCTGCTGTTGTGTTTGGAATGTAACTCAAATTTTCCACAAAGATGTTTGAAAATGTTGCATTGCTTTTGTTGAATGTAAACATAAGTTTTTTCCCAAGCAACTGCAAAAAACCTTACATTGAGAAATACAATTTTTCAATAAATATTTGTGCATTAAGAATGAATACTGGGTGGGAGAACATTCTGTGGTACATGCCTTCATCTCTCCTGTTCTCTTCTCTCTTTTTTCATGTACACAAAATACTGAGACATTGGATCACTTGCAAACAGATTCTTGACCGCACAAGGAGACAAGGCAGTGGGAAGGGCATGGCAATGGGTGGGGAATGTTCTATGTGCAGAAAGGAAAGTGGGGTCTTCTACCAGCATAAATCTATAGGCAGGAGCAGAGCTGAATTCAAGTATGCTGTGGAAAAGCCGAGGTCAAAGGCATATGCTACTCCTCCCTGTGTGTGTGGAGTGAGGTGCCAAGAGTCTGTTTCTGTCTGCCTGAGCCTCCCTCCCTGTTCACTTGCTTTTCAGTCTTCAGCCCACAGTGAGGATGTAGGTGGGGGCCAGGGCCACCTAGGACAAGTGGCCAGAGAGGGAGGGAGGACATCACTCCTTAGAGTCTGCAGTGGGAAGCTGAAGAAGCCTGCTCAGTGAACACATCATCTTGCCTCTGGCTGGTCCTGTCCATCCTGCCACCCTGCCAGGCCTTCCCTGAGGCAGACTGGGACCTCCCAAAAACAGATGCAGCAGCTGGGCTTCAAGTCTTTCTACAGGGGGGGAAAAGGACAGGAGGTGCTGCTTGACTCCTCTTGTTCCTAAGCCCGAGGTGAGTCTGCAGAGCTCAGTGGGATGGTGGCAGTCAGTCAGAAGGACAGAGAGGGTCAGATCAGGGGAAACATCAGGGTGAGGGGCGGGTGAAGGGTGAGGATGTGCCCGCACCCTTGGACAAGGCCCAGGGCATTCACAGGTTCTGGCAGGACTGTAGCAGGTTAGGTTTCTGTCCATCAGTAGAGGCGTCACACTGATGCCCACCACGTTGTTTCCAGGGCACTGGCTGTGGGCCGCGTGGTCTGCAATCTGCTTGTGTGACACGATGTGGTAGATCATTGTGAGAACATTCCTGAAAGCTTCCTCTACAGTGGTGGACTCCAAGGCTGAGGTCTGGATGAAGGACATGTTGTTCTCTATTAAAGAATGGATCTTGTCGGTGGACACGGCCCACAGATGGCACAGGTCACTCTTGTTGTCCACTAGCATGATGACGATGTTGCTGTCAGCATGGTACCCCAGCACCTTTAGCCAGTACTCCACATTCTCATATGTCAGGTGCTTGGCGATGCCGTGTACCAGCAGTTCACCCACTGCATCCTGGTAGTATGTAGAGGTGATGGTGCAGTTGCGCTTCTGGCCAGCTGTGTCCCACTATCTGGGCCTTGGTGGTCTTGCCATTTACCTGGATGCCACAGGTGGCAAATTCCATGCCAATAGTGCTTTTGTTGTCGAGGTCAAACACGTTTTGGGTGAAGGGGTCCAGCAGGTTGCTCTTCCCTACACCCCCATCCCCGATGAGCACCAGTTTGAATAGGGAGTCGTACTTGTCTTTCCGGGTCTCATTGTCCTGGCGCTACTGGCCTATTACTCATTTTTTTGTTGAGCACACAGTGGGAGCTCCTTGAAGCAGAAAGTTGCAATATGGTGTTCTGATATGGGCAAAGAGTCACCAGGAGGGATGTGATAGGACAGAGACGGTGTGGGCAACAGCATCACATGGCCCTCTCTCCCCAGCATCATAGCCCAGTTCATCTTGCATACCTGGTTGCTAATAGGCTGTCATCTGTTCTTGGAGACAGTCAACAAGACCCAATGCAGTGCACAGCCTTTGCCACTATTTGTCAAGCACAGTTCCATTGGCTCAGAGGCAGGATCATTTCCAGCCTGTTCATGGTGTCTCAGGTTATACAAACCTCAAAATACCAGTGACTGGGCATCCATTGAGTGAGAACTAGGCAGGATCACACAAGAGGTTGGGGACTTTTGAAAGCAGGTCACAGATGGGACGCCACAATTTCTGGGTTCACCGCCCTGTGTCCAGCTCTTCCTGTGACACAGGCCTCTTTCTGATTTGAGGGCACAGAAATGGACCATTAGCACAAGGAAGAAGTGACCCATAGCTTTTCAGAAGCCTCAGCTGTGGGCATAGGAGCCTCAGTCACAACACTCTTCTCACCTGGAACTCCTCCTCACCTGCTCTCCACATCTGCACACCCTGCCTATAGTTCAAGACCCCTGCCTGTCCCCAAGACCCACCCTTCCAGGAATAGTTCTCTGACCCCACCAGCCCAGCAGTGCCAGACATTAGTCTGAGGTTTCTACACACACTGTCCCATTGAGTCCCTACAGCCATCTATAGACAGGCAGGATTGACCCCATAAGGGGACACTAAGGCTCTGAGAGGTTCATTTGTCCTCATGGCATACAAGGGACAGTGATAGGAAGGAAGCCCAGGTCCGTGTGAATCCAAAGCCTGTGTTTGTAAGCACTTGCCATGTGACGCCCCCTCCCAGGCAGCACCCCCTTTCCTGACCCACAGTGGTCCAGACTTGGTCCCCATCCCAGCTGGGTTCCTGCATCAGCTTGTGGAACAAAGTGTGTGTATGGACGACGTCTTCCATCTCTCCACTTCTCCCAGAGACCAACGGCATATGGGGAAGTGCATGTAGTGACTAAACGTTTGTTCCTTCATTGTGGTTGAATCAGACAACCAGGAAAAAGAGTTAAAATGTGCTCAATACTGTCCTTTCCATACATTATTTTCCCCAGCCCTATTCTTATTGGCACTATTAGAATGACTCTTGACAGGTACTGTCATCTTGGTACACACAGTTTGTTTGTTTCTGAGGCTGATTATGATGGAGTGACTCACCCACTGCCTCCCAGCACGTGAGTGGTGGAACCTGGGTAGTCCACACACCCCATTTCCCAGTAATACTCCATTCTCGCCACACATAATTGGCTTTCTGACTTCACGGTTAAATGTGGTTCCAAATGGCCTCTTTTTATGGCATCCACTATCTCTTTTTTTCTTTTGAATGTGTGTTTTGTGTAATCAGATCACTAAGTAGATCTGGAAGTGATGAGATGCCCAGGAACAGTCTTGGCCTCCAATCACTGAATACAGAGCATCAGGGAGTGGGAGTGGTTGGTGGGGCCCTGCTGACAGAAAACTGGGCTCAGAAGGAATATAAAGGCAGAGGCGCCGGATCGCAGAACCACCGTCACAAAAAGACTCACTCACAGTGACCCTCACTGAGTCAGTGTTGTTCCTCCCAAGATGAAGCTGCTGCTGCTGTCTGTGGGGCTGACCCTGGTCTGTGCCCACCATGAAGAGAAGCATGATGTCGTGACAAGCAACTTTGACATGTCAAAGGTAGAGTCGGGGAAGCCTAGGGAGTTTAGACTTTGGGGCATTTTGGGGGATTGTGAAGCCAAGTGACCCTCCCAGAGGGTGAGAGGTTTTGATGGTAGACAAAGGGGGTGGTTTCTGACCTTGGACCAAGAGCAGTTGTAGCATGTGGAAAGATTACAACCCTTGGGGACCTCCATTCTCACTGCAGGGACAGTGGAAAGAGCCCTATGTGGGGTGTCCATGGACCTGAGTTCTAATGCCATCTTCACATCACCACTGTGAAGCCTGGCCCAGGGGCCAGAGCTCAAGGAGACAGGGTTCATGCAGGGTCCTGTCTCTTCTTGTCTCTCCGAAACATTTTACTGATTTTTTGCAGATTTCTGGGGAGTGGCATACCATTCTCTTGGCCTCGGACGTGAAGGAAGATATAGAAGAACTCGGTAGCATGAGAATGTTTGTGGAATCCATCCAGGCCTTGGATAACTCTTCTCTGTTACTGAAATATCATAAAAAGTAAGTATGGCATTTTTCGTTGGGGAAAGAAACTAAATATGGTCTTGGAGCTTTATACACACACACACACACACACACACACACACACACACACACAAAGACACAAACACGCACATTCTTGTGATCACTTATATTGTGGGCCTGTGTCCAAATCAGAGTCCCTTATCACATACTGATCCTCGACCTGATCAACCTGAAGATTCTCTAGATTCAGAGGTAAGAACTGCTGACCGGAATAGGTTTAAATGACAGTAGAGAAGGTAGGGGCAGTAGAGATCTGAGTCCTAATGAGTGGGACAGAGTAGTTTAGGTAAGAGGGTAGGGTGAGGATGGAGAGCCTGGCTCATGAAACCATCTCTTACTAGTTGTAGGACCTAGAAATTTTCATTCTTTCCACCCCAATTATCCCTTGGATAAAGAAGATGATCATAACTCTTTCCTGTGGGTTTTTTCCTTTTATCTGTGAGGGCTGAGTGAGGCAATGCTTGTACAGCATTCATCTGAGACACTGGCACAGCTGAGCCCTCGGCCAAGTATCTAGACAGGTAGCCGCAGCAGTAGTGAGAGTGGGAAGTGGAGGAACAGTGATGTCAGTAGTTGACTCATTCTTAAAGGAGCAAATAAAGTGAAACAAGGAAAATAAAAGCTCTTTCAAAGTTTTACCAAAGGTTTTTCAATACTTCACAAAATGGGACACTCAGGTTACAGGTGGAGTGGGAGGGAGCCAGCCCCTCAGTATCTCACGGGCACCACTCAGCTCATTCTGTTTCACAGGAGCAACGGAGAATGTGCTGAACTGACTTTCGTTTCTGAAGAAACAGAAGAGGAAGGTATATATAGTGTTTTCTGTAAGTATACATTTACAATGTCTTTGTAAATTCTACTTCCAGCTGCAAGAAGTTTACTAAATGCCAATGTCTTTAGCATTGAGATCCCGTTCTGACTCATGCTCTTTAGGTTCTACACATGAGCCATGTAATAGCCAAGTTCTCTAATATTTGGGCAACCTTGTTTGTAAAAGCCATGTCCTGGCACATAGGCCATGAGAATAAGATGGTAGTGTGGTCATGTGTGCCACCAACAACAAAAGAAAACTGGCCCAGAAAAATTTAAATTGCTGGAAAGCTTTTGATTCCACGCCCACTGTGATGGCTTCTGGTGACCTTTGCCACAAAACCTTGCGCAGCTAGGATGCCAGTATGTAATAACAGCCAGGCTCCTAGACAGGACAGAGTCACACAATCAGCAGACATGGCCGAGGGAGGTTGGTGACCTTCAGGGCAGATAATAGAAGGTCAGTTGCAGCTGTGGCAGAATTTCCTACCACTAGGAATCCAGGTACCACAGGTTTCCATTTCCACCTTTGGAAGTCACCAGATGACACCCATGGGGCAAGTGGAATGCTTAGATATCACCTTTACCTCTTCCAGGATTTGCACTGGAATTTGTTTACGAAGGAAAATAGGTAAAGAGTTTCACTTGCTTACCATGGACCTAAGAAGTTCTGACCTGTGTTCTGTTTCCTCCACAGATGAGGGATACAACGAGTTTCACATAGTTGAAGCAGACTACAATGACTATGTTATTTTTTATTTCTTGAATTACCATAATGAGAAAATAACCCAAGGAATGGAGCTCTACGGTAGAGTATTTTCATGCTGATATTCACCTTGGAGTGGGCTGCAGATAAAAGTTTCCCCAGATCTTCTGCTGGGCCATTTCTCACTACCAAAGAAAGGTGCTGACCATGGGTACCCCCTGGCTATGTGGTGAAGGAAAGGTGATGAAATCTCTCACCATCCTAAAAAAGTCAAACTCAAGACAGGCAACATCCCCTGCCTCACTTCTGCCTAAACACCAGTCAGTGCCATCCATCCCCATCATCTGTCCCCCTGTCCCAAGGGCCTCCATGACCAACACAAAGTCGCAGGCATTACTGTCCCTCTTCCCACAGGCCGCAACCCAGATGTGAATCCTCAAATCAAGAAAAGGTTTGAGGAACTTTGCAAATACCATGGAATTCCAGAGGAAAACGTGCAGGACTTGACCAATGCTGGTAAGTTTAGCTCTCTCTGGTTTCCTCTTGCTAGCTAACTCCCTATACTAGTGATTGGAGAACAGCAAGAGAAGGTAACACCTCCAAAGGGGCCCCTCTGTCCTACCCTAGAAACTCATTCAGTTTCTCTCTGGGAAATAAGGGGCTGCTGGTTGACTGTGCTCTGTTCTGCCTCTGCAGACCCCTGTTCCCAGGACTGATGGAGCCACAGAGCCCAGGCCTCCAGGTGGGTGCTGTCTGGTGGTGCTGGGGTAGTCCAGGGGTCCCTGCCCTCCAAAACCGACAAGGCTTGATGCCCAAAGGTTGCAACACACACATTTGGTGAGGAAGCTTGTGGGGTGAGCTTGAAATTTGGAGTTGGGAGTTCTGGTTCAGGAGCCACCCCTTCATGAGCTTTAGAGCAAATGGCCTCAGTATTGAAAGGAACAAACAACGATGTGCCCCTCACAGGGTCACTGTGTGGATATCCTGCTGCTGAGCAGGCCTCAGGAGCTGATTATGTCCTAAAATCATTAACACTTCAAATGTGAAACAGGGCAAGAGTACCAGGGTGCCGGTGCCAAATTCAATACACCTCTGGGATTTGTCCATCTTCCAAGGTTTCACTCACCCTTGGTCTCACCCTCCCATTTCTGGGAATATCATCTTCCTTTGATCTCTGCACATCCTGACCTTCTGACCTGGAAGTGAGCTGTCTGACCTTCCCCTTGTCCTACCCCTGGAAAATAGGTCCTCAATTTCCTCCCGTGTTTCCTCCCTCAGCTGTATTGTGGGGCTTTATTCAGGTAACATTTGGGAAAGTCTTAGCAAGTATGGCTTGCATAAAGGCAGCACTTAATAATGGTAACTATGGTTGTTGCCATTCTTTCTTGACTTATCAAAACTTGTGCAACACCTTTAATGCTGAGGATGGCAGAAACCAGCCTGGGGTCCTCCACTGAGTCCTCTCTGTTTTTCACAGACTCAGTTTAGGGAAGGGTAAGATGGGAACAGTCACCGAAAAAGAAAAATCATTGTCCCAATGTCCCCCTTCCCCCTGTTCTGCAAGTAGCCTGGGTTAGACAGCAGGCTGTTGGCTACATCTTCACCACTTTTCTCTGCAGTGGAAACTCTGTCTGTCCTCAGTTCAACCCAGGAAGTGCTAATGAGTTTCTGGGTGCTGTTTCTCATGTGCTTATTTAGTGCCCAGTGAGTGCTTCCTTCCACGGTCCCCATGTCATCCTGTGACAAGTTCTGTGACCTGATTTCCAGGACTGTACTCCAGGAAGGCATTATCTCTGAATCTTCAGCATCTTCTCAACGTGTCTAGAAAAGACTCATCAACTCACCAAGAACCAAATGTTTTCTCTATATTTCCAACTCCCTCTGCCATACCTGGGAGAACTCTACCATGAATAACACTTTCTTCTACCTGGTCAATAAATCACGTATCTTGCAGTTAGTTGTGTGACTGTCTGTGTGTACATGAGAGACTGAGAGCTGGCAGGAGGCCCACGAGGGGCTCCTTGGCCCTGTTCCCATAATGCTCCTCTGGCCTCTGAGAATCTCCCTGGGTTTCAGGATTCTCCCACCTCTGCAGTCATTCTGCATCTCTGTGAGTGCTGTCTGCTCTTTGATTGTCCTGTTTCTTAGTGACCCGATAAAGCAAACTAGGAGCTGCCCGAGAGCTTACCCCATCCTGGAATTCTCCTTTCCAGGGCGTCACTGGCAGATAGATACTCCAAGGGTGGCCACGAGAGTCAGGTGTCAGGGCCCGGCCTCCTCATGTGGCTTCTCTACACCCCCACGTTGGGAGGGAGTAGAGGCCGGAAAACTCCCTCACCACCACTGGTATCTGTTATGCTCGTCTTATGTGAGATGCTAGTGTCCCTAGGTGTATTAAAAATATAAACTTCAATTCAAATTAGGGTGAAGGACCCTTCCCATTCTGTACTGATGCCCTGTTCATAAAACAGTGTTCTTGCCAGGCCAGGCTACCTTGAGTGTTCTCAGTTATATCAAAGACACAGGACTTGGAAAACATTGTTTTCTCCTGGGTATGTAACACTTAGTCCTACAGCCATAAAAGATGATTGATTTCCATTGGGAAGCATGACCCCCACGTCCCCAGCCCGAGGGCCATTTGTAGTAGATTGTGCTATGTCCACACCAGTGATGGTTGATTTTATTACAGATTTCATTATCAGTAACATAAATGCAAATTTTCCTCAACAAGTTAACAAGAATGCAGTAGGTCCATGTTAGCATGGTGTGATCTCAGAAAGTGCTTGTTGAAGAACAGATACATGCAGCATGACACCATTCATATAAATGGTAAATAACACAGAGAACAACCAGAAACATCATCTATGGATTCCTGTGTGTGTGATCATGCAGTGCTTCTCAGAACATGCACACAAATCACCTGGGACCGTGATGAAATGCCAGCTCTGAGTTAGCAGGTCTTGGTGGCGCCTGAGTCTCTGCTTTCTAACAGGCTCCCAGAGGTACCAGTGCTGTGCTGTGCTGCCTTGGGAGGGGTGACTCTGGTGAGAGGAGTCTGTCCTTCTTACCTTCTTCTGTGCATCAGTGCCTTGGATTGTTTTTGCCTCACCTGGTTGGCGGGGCCTCTCAGTTGTATCCTGGACTCCCATAAATGGTAAGGTATTGTCACCCACAGTGGCTGTTAAAATAGGTGTTTCCATGGAGACACGAGAGCTGGCACCTTGTATTCCACTGTCTTGTTCCTGTCAACCCTGATGTGTGATTATTTCATCTAAGGACAAACATGGAGAAAGACACTTATTTTCAAACCTGTATTTTCATTTTCTAGGATATCAAATAAAACCAGGAATCCAATGAAAGCTATGGCAAAATCAGCCTTCAGTGGGAGTGACGCTACTGCTTCTTGGTGCACTTTGCTCAGGGACTAGAGGGCCAAGATCACAGTCAAGTCCCATTGGGCCTTTTCCACCATGACATTTAAATGATACGTCTTTTTTTTTTCTAGTTCTGTATCACCCTACTATCACCTTCATGTCCATGAACACATCTTAGGACTGGAAATATACTGAGTTGGTTAAGGAAAGAGGAGCAAACCTGTTGCAAAGAGCACACAGGATAAATCCCAAAGGCAGAGTAGTGTCAATGGGATTACTTATTAAGTCACACATGCTCATGCGTCCGAGAGCTCACTCTGCCTGTGCATCAGAAATACAGTGAGGAAGCTCTGGTCTCGGCCTCCAGCTGGACGGGAGACACGGGTCCTGCATTAGTTTCCTGTTTGAGCTGGAACCAGTCACCAGGAACTTAGAGGCCAAAACAGCCAGTTTATTGTCCTGTAGTTCTGGAGGTCAGACATCTGACCCTCGGTCGCTGGACCAAAACCAATGAGCCCCGTGTCTGTCAGGGTACTCAGGTCACCTTCTGTGTCCTTTCTGAGAGTTTTAAAATTTTCTCCTTGGTAGTTTTCTTGGATATTCTTGGCTGTTAATTCCTATGTACTTTCACCAGTTTGTTTGTTTCACAGTGTAGAATATTTAAGTTTAGAATTAGCCAGCCGGACTCAGTTTAGAGGACCCCAATTTTATTGGCAACTTCCAAATGATCACACGGGGAAGGCAGGTGAACACATGCCTTCTTCTCTCCATCAGGCCTGAGCAGGGTGTCGGCCTTGGCCATGTCAGTCTTATAGAGCTTCCTCACAGCCTGTTTGGCCTGGTGCTTGTTGACCTTGACACCCACAATGAACACAAGTGTGCCATTGTCTTCTGTCTTCTTCATGGCTCCCTCGGTGGACAAGGGAACACGATAATGCCAGAGTGGTCAAGCCTGCATTTCCATGGGGTGAATACTGAGGCCACCACTGGAGCCACAGTGTCTTTGGCCATCAAAAGGTGTTTGACGCACTGGCCTGGTTTTTTTTTTTGTTTTTGTTTTTTTTTTGCGTGTCGTGGATGACTTTCAGCACTGCTTTCTTTGCCTTTACAGCCTTTGCTTTCGATTCGTGAGTGTCAGGGCCTTCCTTCCTCGCTTTGGGCACCATCCTCATGAAAAGGCCATTTGTTTTTTTTAACCAGGAATTGTTATCATTATTTTTTTCTGGTATAGAGAAATGCTAGTGATTTTTGTAAGTTGATATGTCTAGCAACCTCAATGAATTTTGATCATTGTAATGAAATGAGTTCCAGTACTTTGTGGATTCTGTTGGTTTTATAGGTATATAGTCATATTATTGTAAACAGTGTCAAAGTATCTCTTGCAATATTTATGCTCCTCTCTTTTTTTTTCTCCTCTCCTTGTAATTTGAGCCAGAACCTCCAAGGGTTCTTAGATATTGAAACCATGTTTTCTACACCAGTTGGTATAGAACTGTGGATCATCAGCCAAATCTAGTCCACTGCCTATTTTTGTATTGCCTGTAAGCCAAGGCATTTGCTGTTGGTGCAATATCAAGAACGGTATTTTCATCTCCAGTAAAGCAAGTTTCAAAAAGAAGATACCATCCCTCTTACTAATAGATCCATATTTCCAAAATATTGTAATGAATATTCAATTTTGAATTTCATCAAAAAATGTGGACATGTATTTTCTCTATTATTTTGTTAATACCTATGTAGTAACTTTGATTTTGCCTCTTGTCCTGCAAGACATAAAATATTTCCCAACCATTTCTTTAGAGATAGTGTTTGCTGGCCCCTTTCCTGTACCATGGCCCTTGCCCTGACTGCTTTTTGCTCTGGTGATTTGTGCTGCACTGTCTCCCACATACATGCGATTCTCTCACTGAGCCCCTCAGAGCACCTTCCATAAAATGGGCATTAAATTTTCTAACTGTGGGATTAAGGAGATGTTTTTAAATTGTCTGCTTACAGCTCCCCTGGAATGACTTCAAGCTGAACGGAGGAAACATAGGTAAATGTCAAATAAACTTCCAGTGTAAATATCAACCCAGGACACCCCGAGGTCATCTGGCATTTCAAGATTGACAAGGGAGACTCCATATCTCCCTTCCCAGCTTTGGACACTCTGCCAGTTCAGCCTCTGGTCCCAGGACACAGTTGTGTTGAAACTGTCCGCCCCTGGAAGCAGGCCCATCAACTTTCCTGAGCTTTCCAGAAACACTGTTCTGCTGCTCGAAAACCCTTTACGAAGGCTCTGATTGGCTCCTAGAAAAATAGACAGTTGCTGGCTGACCCCTTGGCAAAGAAAGACAGAGGCTGGGTATGCCAGCCAGCTGAGGAGAGCGCTGCCCCGGGAGAAGACCTGGTCAGCAGCACTGACAGCGACAGCCCGACTGCCCGGCTCCCCACAGCCGCTCTCGGTTTCCCACGGGTCTGTTACACCTGCGTTGGTATGCACACAGTGTTCCTCCGACCCCCGTGACACTGCTGTCTCTGGACTCTGTGTGAAATACTCAGACCCAGGTATGTGCATGTCCTGAACCCTCATGACATTCCAGTCCCTGTGTCACCTTGAAACCAGAAATGCCGGAGTTTGTGCCACCTTTACTACGAGAACCAATAACTAGAGACAAGGATTGCATCTTTATGGGTGCTTTATTCAGAGGCCAGCAACCTGAGAAGACGGCAGGCTCTGTACCCTCAAAATCTGTCTTAACATCTCATCTCAGGCCAACCTCGTTATAAGGAGAAGAAAGGGCAGGTAACGGGCTTGGAGAAAAGGTGAGTCAGGTAAGAGTTGCAGTGTGGCTGCCATTTTCCTAGTGCTTCTTCATCTATTGGTCAGCAACTCAGATACCGCCTCCTGCGCTGGTGGACCCCCTGGGGCCGGGAGGTGGAATTGCTCGTGGTCCTCCTGAAGTCACATAGGTCCTGCATTCCAGTTCCTGGAACAACAGCTTTCCACCTGCAGGAATCACTTAAGCATTAATCACTTAAGCCTTAAGTCCGCTAAAACCTTTAACTCTTGAGTTCCCCTGTCAGCCTCACACAGAGGACTCCACTGAACCCCAAGCATTAGGCAGTGCTCTTTCCCCACCTTCTTTGGCCTGTCACGTTTATTTGTTCACAGCCCGGACCCACTTCCCAGAAGGGAAGTGCAATGAAGCCAAGGAGTTGATTTTGTTCCCTCATCAGTCAACACCTGAAACGGTGCTTAGCCCCTCTGACGCAGGCTCACCACGGGCATTGGCTTCATCAGTGGGCTTCCCTGATCTGCACAGGAAAGCCTGGGGACTTGTTTGACCAGCGACATGGGAGTGGAATGTGCCCAAGTCGTGGGCTCCAGGATTTTTTAAAGCTCTCAGGTTCAAAAGTGCAGCCAAAGTTGAAACACATCCTTGTAAGGATGGGATGCGTTGGTCTCACCACTTATCTGTAACGTGGAGTCTCCAGAACTGGAGTG